CGCCACACCCCTCCCTCTCCACCCCTCCCTTTCCCCCATCCTTTTGTCCCTCCCCTCCCCCTCTCTTTCCTCATTCCCCTCCCCTCTCTACCCCACCCCCTCCCCACCCCCTTCCCTTCCCCATACCCCTTCCCTCCCCATCCCTCCCCTTCCCCCATCGTTTTATCCCTCCCCTCCCCCACACCCCTCCCCTTCCTCATACCCCTCCCTCTCCAGGGGTGGAGAGGGGAGGGACAAAATAGGGAATAAAGGAAATAGAGAAGGGTATGAAATTGAAGTAGAAAATGGGGGAGCAGGAAAGGGATGAGGTAGGGGGGTGGGGGTGGGGGGTGGTAACAGATGCGTGGGGGGTGAGAAGGAGTGACAGACAGGTGTCTCTTCCTCTCTTCCCACAACAGGAAATGTATTGACAGCTGAGTGTCAGAATCATCAACGCCATGTCAGTGGGACTTCCGGTCAATCAGCCAAGACGACGGGCAGACAGACAGACAGATGGGCGGAAAGACAGACCGTTGGGCGGAAAGACAGATAGACAGGTTGATAGATAGACACGGAAAGACAGGCAGACAGATAGACGGACAGACAGATAAACGGACATACAGACAGAGAGATGGACAGACAAACACACAGAGAGATGGACAGACAAACACACAGATAGATGGACATACAAACACACAGATAGACGGAAAAAAATAGATAGGTAGACAGATAGACAGACAGACAGAGAGACGGACAGACATACAGAAAGATAGACCATCAGAAATACAGACTGAGAGACGGACGGACAGACAGATAGACGGAGAGAAAGACAGGCAGACAGACGGACAGACCGATAGACAGACTGACAGACAAACAGACGGACAGGCAGATAGCCAGCCCGACTGACAGACAGCTGGACAGACGGGCAAATAGACAGACAGACAGATAGACAGACATACAGATAGACAGACAAATAGACAGACGGACAGACTTATGTCTTAATGATTGGTCTAATTAAAAGATTATCTGAATAAGTACAATTCACAACTCTGAATGAGCATAATACTATCTCTGGAAAGTGAAAAGAGTCTTCACTTTCGAACCATTTTGCACTGCCACTTTCCCATTGTGCAAATTCATTAAAAAATTATGAGTAAATCAACATCTGATACCATTTCATACAATATAAGAAAACATTTTGTGAGAAAATAAGGAAAATAACATCATCTAATTAACCCATTCGCGCCGGGTGTCATGTATTCGTGACGGGCCCACTGTGAGTTTACTTGTTTAATTGTTTTAACACATAGATGGCTACACTTGTACATGTACGGCCTGTGTCGTCTGTTTACCCTTTTCTTTAATTTACGAAAATATTTTACATTATCTTATTTAGCTGTTACTAATGTTCATAACATTATAGTAATTATAATGTTTATAATAAAAATAACCATCGATATTCATAGCACTAGTAAAAAATACATTTTCCCGCCAAATGAAATCAGGTAAGGCAGAGCCATCTAGTGTACAGAAATTTCACAAAAAGTATAAAAAATGAATACAGCATTTTTCCCCATTTTTTGTTCATTTTTACCCGGCATGAATGGGTTAAGTAGAAAATCTAATATTCATTGTTTTCTTGTCATGGACAGCACAAACATAACTAATGTTACTGAGAGCAACGCACAGAGATAGAGGGAAATGGACAACGCCATCTAAGAAAGCATACAAATTAAAGTCATAAACAATAAAGTTACAGCTGCTGTGGCTTCATATATATCAAGAAATGGCAAGAATATCCGCTGCATGTCACTGTCAGAGACAAAGTCCACAACACCTCCACAGCCAAGAGTCCTTGATGCCTATTTACTGTAAATTGGCATGAAGCGCTAATAAAAGGGGTATAAGGAGGTCTTGCCCCCTATCTAGAGAAAAAATTGAAGGCAGGGAAGGCTGAGTTTGGAGTTTCGGTTCGCATGATACCCTGGTTTTGGGACTTACTATACCCAAACGTCGACAGTTAAATTAAAATTATTCCTAATATAATGGCGTAGCCTAGGTCAACCACGTTCAAGCCTGGTCAGGTCACCTTCACTCGCGCAGAATGACAAACAAAAGAAGCGCAAGACAGCTCAAAAATAGTAACATCCCTTGACGCAAGTTGTATAACCACGGGTGCCACTCATTCCACTACTGTCTTCAGCCGATGGCTCTGTAAGCGCAACAGTTATTTTCTAGAAACATCGAAAGTTGAGTGAATTACCTGGCAGAAGCACCTCTCACCAGCAGTTGTGTCTCCTTTAGGGGTCTTCTTAATCCCATACCAAATTCCCGTGCAAGTGTGGAAGGACACTGCCAAAATGACAATCACCCACGCGGAAGTCCTCGACCACGTCATGACTCGATTTTAAACACTCACGACACTCGAAAGAACAGATACTGAACCCCGGGACTGGAGGGCGGACGATATATACTACCACTCCGACGTGACTGTCATGACTGATCGCTTCTGCACAATTCG